TGAAGTCCTGGTTTTCCAGAAGCCAATTTTGATGCCTCTGCTGGGCCTTCAGGCTTGGAGGACAGGAGAGGAGAACCTGCTATGAGTTGAAGTCCTGGTTTTCCAGAAGCCAACTCTGATATCTTTGCTGGGCTTCCTTTTGTACCCAAAAGAGAAGGTGGCACTCCATCTGCAGAAGAAGCTGTGGATATCCCCTTGTGAACTGCCAAGATTGAATTGAGAACTTCACCTCTGTCTTCCAGAGTTAAGGGAGATGAACCTTTCCCAACCACACTGCCAAGTTTGGGGCCACCTAGATTAGAAGGTGCTGACAGCAGGCCATTTTTGGGAGGCAAGGAAGCCAATGGAGACACCACTCCTAATAGTTGACCTGCTGCTGGTTTGGTTCCTTTGGCAGAAGATGGATGGACCAAGTTACTGACACCATCCAAAGCCTCAGAAAATCCTTGGAGAACCTCTCCACCTGCTTCCAAGATTGGACCATTTGATACACCCAAAGTATCACCAGTAGAAATATGGTCACCCAAAACAGAGTTTTCTCCACTTCCATCCTCGATGGAATTCGCCAAATTGCCCTGGTTATCTGAAGATGGCTGAGAAGAATCTGGAGCACCAACATCCTGGCTCATTCCTTGGGCGGCCAAATTCTCATCTGAAGATACTGAGCTGGAGATGGAGGTTTCTTCTGAAGATTGAGAAATCACGGCTCCATCAACAGACGACTGTCCACTCATTGCATCCGAATTTTCTCCAAATTGTTCTGCTATATTGTTTTGATCTGGACCTGTTCCTGTGGAAGAAGTGGGTCCTTGGGCACCTGCTGTTCCTAGGTTGGTAATCTCCTTCCCTCCATCGGTGGAGAGGGATGGTCCTCCCTCAACCAGGTTTTCAGAGACATCTTTGCTGACCGATGTCCCAGGGGATTGTGGTTCAGTGGACGATGGAGCTACGGAGAATTGGTCCTCGCTTACAATTGAATTGTCTTCAGGCGTCTCTGCTCCTTCTCCTTCGGTTGCCACGCTATCTGGAGATCCTACATTATTTGATGACCCCGCATCGTCTGCCTCCTCACCTGGAGATGAGGAAGATTGTCCATTCTCAAGGCCTCCAGGAAGGTTTTCATTGGCAGATGTTTCTGGAAATTGTAATTCTGTGGCTGGTGGAACCAGAGAAGCTTGGTCTCCACTTGCAATGGGGTGGCTTTCCGTTGGTTCTGCTTCCTCAGGTGCAAGAGAATCTTCTGGTGATGTTCTATCTGCTGATAGCTGAGATCCCTCATCAGTTGTTGACTTTCTGATGGCAGTTCCCAACTCTTTGGTGGAAGACGAATCTTCTAGGGACTCTGGAGTGGATGGAGACGAAGGTCCCTTTTCCTCAGGCACGCTTGAAGACACTTCTGATGTCTCTGCCCCATTGGGAAGGGGTGTCCCTGCTGCTGATTCTCCATCTAGAGGGAGTTGAGATCCTGCATTTGTATCTGTGTTGCTAGTTTCTTCTTCATCGGAAGAAGAGATGGCTTGTGGTTCTGGAGCAGTTGAAGATCCATCACTCGTTCTGGAGACTTCTGGTGTCTCTGCCTCTTCAGAAACTGTAGCTCCACCTGGCCCAAGCCCGTTTGGAGACGACAGAGGTTCTGTGTTAGTTGCTGGCTCTGAATCGACTGCTTCCATCCCATCTCCACCGCTAGGTTTTCCAGAGACCTCTAGATCTTCTAGAACCGTTGATGATTCTGTGGCTGATGAACCTAGGGAGGTCTCTCCCTCATTGGCAGAAGAAGAGTTTTCTAATGGTTCCAGTCTGTTGGACACGTCAGATGTTTCAGTGGCTCCACCCGCCACGGATGGCTGAGCTTCTGCGTTATTTGTTGCCGCTGGACCAGCCGTTTCCAACTCTTCCTCAATGAGAGAAGATTCCCCGTTATCCGTTCCTCCAGAAACGTCCTCACCACCTGATGGTCCTGGAGATTGTGATGCTGTGGATGATAAGGTCCAAGACAATTTCTCCCCATTGTTGGAAGTATCTTCTACTGCTTCTGCACTCTTAGAATCTTGAACCTCTGTTGTTGGCAAACCATCTAGAGATGGTTTAGATTCTGGGGGAATCCTGGATTCTGAGTTGGTGTTTTCCACTTCTTCAGAAGTAGAAGTTGAATGTAACTCCGCAGCTGATGGGATCAAAGATCCTTCCTTCCCATTTACATCAGAGGCACCTTCTGATATCTCAGAACTTCCAGCGGCTGCAGATAGCTGAGCACCATCAGGAGGTAGCTGAGATCCTCCATTATTTGCTGACTCCAACGTGGCTGTTTCAGTCCTGTTATTATTTAGGGAGAGTTCTCCATCCATACGTCCTTCAGCATCCTCTTCGCTGGTGGATATTTTGGACTCCGATCCTCTGTCCAATGGATCTTGAGAAGATTTCTCACTGATCGTATTAGTGATCTCTTCAGAATCTTCTACCCCATCAGAAGAAGCCACATCTTCTGGAAGGACCTGAGATCCCTTGTCAGTCGCTGGAGGTGAATTAGCCGTTCCCGCCACTTCAACTGGGAAGGCCGCACTTCCATGGTTGAGTTCTCCAGAAAACTCACCACTTTCTGAGGCTGTGGGTCCTTGTGACTCTGTGGTTGACGAAGCCAAAGGTGATGCCTTCTCACTAGCTACAGATGTTTGCAGTTGTCCTGTCTCTTTAGAAGTTTCAGGTGCTGCTTCACCACCTGGAGATGGCCGAGAACCCACCGCTGATGGCTCAGAGGCAGACGTCTCTGTTTCTTCAGTAGAAGAGGTTGATGGTGGTGTTGCATCCTCAGAAGATACTGCTCCTGTTGATAATTGAGCATCCTCTCTTGGGACTGAGGTCTCTCCATCTTCTATAGGTGCCAGAGCTAAAATTCCTCCAACAGGTGAAGTTACTAATTGTCTCACAGGAAAGTCACTTCCAGGCTGACCGTCGTTGCTTGTTGCAACGGTTGTTTGGGCTGATGAAGCTGACCTGGCATCATCTTCCTCGTCTCTACTCTCATCTATCCCATCACCGCCTGGAGAAGAACCGAGAGTTTTGGATGATAGACCTGGGGAGGGTTCGCCATCTTCATTCTCCGAATTGGGAAGTATATCCTCAATAGATGCCGAAGATTTTTCCGCTGAGGGTTCCTGAGTTTGTGTTGATGTCTCGGTGTCTACAAGGGGAGAAATTGTCCCAGATTGTACAGCGGGTTCATTTCCAGAGCTTGGAATACTGGTATCCAGTGCATCTTCAGAGCTTAGCTGTTGTTCAGAAGATGAAGCATTGAATTTGTGCTGGGTATTGTCACCATCTACAAGAGGTTCCTCATCAACCCCTGGCTCTGAGGTAGATCCAATTTTCTCTTCTTTAGGAGATAAGATTGGTCCGTCGCTTAAGTCTCCAGAAATGCTTGGTTCCTCAGTAACTTCTACAAGAGCCGGCTGAGGGTTTATGATGGATGGTGCAGAGGAAATTTCTTCTCCATTGATGGAAACGGAATCTTCTGGATCCTCTGAGTGTGTTTCCACATCATCATCTTTTGGTGGTTGGGAAGACGTTGCCAGCGGGATTCCAGAAATTGAAGAGAGCTCAGTATCAGAAGGTGGGAGATCTGACACACCGTGATCTTCACCATTGGCTTGTGTGTCTACCTCATCTGAGGAAACACTTGGGATGGGGCCATCGTTTTCAGAAGAAGAACCTATATTTCCAGGTGATCCAATGGGTAAGTCCTCACTTCCTTCTCTCTCTGAAGGTGGTTCATTGGTAGATCCAGGAGCTGAAGTTTCTGCAGGTGGTCCTTGAGCTTCTGCAGGTGGTTCTTGAGCCTGGTCAGCTCCTTCATTCTCCACAGGTGGAAGAGAAGGAGGAGGATCTTCTACATCCCCTGAGCCCGTTTCCATGTCATTCTCTTTTGGTAGTTGAGAAGAAGGTTGGGAACCCGGTAACAAATTGGACGGAAGTTCTGTTGTGTCTGGTTCTGAAATTAGAGATCCAGAAAGTGCTTCACTGGGAGATGTTGAAGGAAAGGTAGGTTCTCCTTCTGAGGAAGAACTGGAACCAGATGTTGGTGCATTCTCTACGAGTGACTGACTTGGAGACAGTTGATCATCCAAGGACCCTGATCTTTCCATGGGCAACAGGGTTCCAGAACTTGAAGAGAACTCTGTGTCAGGAGGTGAGAAGTCTTTACTGGTGGCTTCTGTGTCTACCTCCTCCAAAGAGGAACCAACATTTCCAGGTGATTCATTAGGGAAGGCCTCATTTCCTTCTGTCTCTGAAGATGGTCCACCAGTAGATGCAGGATCTGAAGCTTCTGCAGGTGATCCTTGAGCTTCTGCAGGTGGTTCTTGAGCCTGGTCAGCTCCTTCGTTCTCCACAGGTGGAGGAGAACTCACCATCGTATCAAACAAAGCCCCTGGTTTATTTCCAGTAGCCAAATCTGAAGGGATGGGATTTATTTCATCCTCGGGAAGGCTGTTGGATGTGGTAGTTGCCTCGCTATCTTCTAACTCTGAATTAGCTGTTTCCACCCCAGGATTCAAGGAGGAAGCTGTGCCACCGAGATCTTCAGATCTTTCTTCATCAGGTATCTCAGTTCCTTGGGCAGGTTCTTGTCCTGGAAATGGTGACACAGGAGATGTCCCTTCATCGCTCTTTGGGTTTCCTGAGTCGTTTTCTCCTTCCTCTTTCACTGTGGAGGCTTCTCCTCCTATCTCACCACCTTCAGTCAACTGAGAAGGTATCTCTGGAGTTCCAGAAAGTCCCCCCAGAGGAATATCTGATGTATCCAACGGTGAAGTCCTAACAAGGGTGTCACCGGGAGGCCCTGAGCCAGATGGAGCATCATCTGAAGGAGAGGAATCCGCTGCTTCAACATCTAGAATGTCTTCTGGTTCTTCCCTGGGCAGGTTGACAGGGCTTTCCTGATTGGGCTCTGAAGATGAAGATGGAATTGGATCTGCGTCACCTCTCCCTACAGGAGAACCAGAGTCCACACCAGCAGGAGATGGCTGAAGGGAGCCTACATCAAGGTCATTTATCCCTGGAGATCCAACGTTTTCACGGGCGGGCAATGGCCAAACGGGAGGGAACCCTGTTGAGGTCTCAGGACCACCCTCTGAAGACAGCGAAGGGGCATCTACGTTCTCTCCTGTTTCTTGGCCTGGCAGGTCTTCTGGGGTGCTAGGAAAAACGGGGGGATTTGAGGAGGGGTCTTCTAACGTCCCACCACTCTCATCCGTAGACGGTTCTGGCGTGTCTTTCTCTGCCTCTAAAGGGGAAGCTTTGGTTTCTTCCCACGAAGTTGAGTTGGGCTTCCCTTCCTCGTCCAGATTTGGTTCTCCAGGGATGTTCTCCAACGGCTTCTCTCCTTCTGGAGGACTTGTGCTGAGAATTTCAGTCTGGGCTTCTTCTTTAGAGGGAGAGGCTAAGAGGTCTTCCTCAGAGGTTGCAAAAATAGTCACGGGAGCCTCTGTCACGCCGGAGTATCTCTCTGTGACTAGCTCGGTGGCTTCGTGGCCAACTTCCGAATCCAGAGGAGGTGTTTTCTTTGGAGCTTCCTGGGATTCAGCAAGAGAGTCTCCTTGGAGGCTCTCTTTCCCCAGAGTTGGCTGGGAAGAGTTGACTGGATGCAAGACATTCTTGTCCACCGAAGGGACTTCTGAGATTTCCTTGAGATCTTCGGGGATTTTGAAGGTCTTGGGTGTGACGGCCAGAGAACCAGAACCGTCTTCGCCATCGGCCTCAGAAGGGAAGGGGGTTTCGGCGGGAAAGTCCAGATCCTCCTCGGTGGTTGTGGGCAGAGTGGGCCCAAAATAATCGGCGAATGCCACAGTGGAAAGAAAATTTGGCGTGGAAAAGTCGTCTTCGATTGCCGGAGGTTCAGTGGCCACTGGGAGCGCTGCTCCCGTCGCGATCCCTGCAAAGGGGGGATGAAATGAGAGTCACGCTTTTGCAACAAAGACAAGCTCCTATTGAAATAGATTGAAATAGAATAGAATAGGACAGAAAATGGAATAGGATAGAAAATAGGATAGGATAGGAAATAGAATAGAATAGAATAGAATAGAATAGAATAGAATAGAATAGAATAGAATAGAATAGACAAGACAAGAGAAAATAGAAGAGAATAAAAAATAGAAGAGAATAGAATAGAAAATAGAAGAGAATAGAGAATAGAATATAATAGAACAAAGAGAAGAGAAGAGAAGAGAAAATAGAAAATAGAAAATAGAATAGAATAGAAAATAGAATAGAATAGAAAATAGAATGAAAATAGAATAGAACAGAAAACACAAGAGAATAGAAAATAGAAGAGAATAAAAAATAGAAGAAAAGAGAAAATAGAAGAGAAAATAGAAGAGAAGAGAAAATAGGAGAAAATAGAATAGAATAGAAAAGAGAAAAGAGAAGAGAAAATAGAAGAGAAGAGAAAATAGAAGAGAAAATAGAAGAGAGACTAGAATAGAATAGAATAGAATAGAATAGAAGAGAAGAGAAGAGAAGAGAAGAGAAGAGAAGAGAATAACAAAGTTGGAAGGGAAGTTGGAGGTCTTCTAGTCCAACCCCCTGCCTAGGCAGGAAACCGTATACCACTTCAGACAAAGGGCTGTCCAACATCTTTTTTAAAACTTCCCCTGATGCAGCACCAGCTACTTCTGGAGGGAAACTCTTCCACCGATTAATTGTTCTCACTGTCAGGAAATTCCTCCTTCGTTCGGAGCTGCTTCTCTCCTGGATGAGTTCCCACCCATTGCTCCTTGTCCTGCCTTCAGGGGCTTTGGGGAATTATTTTGACCAATCTTATAAATCGATGAATGTACAGAAGTCAGGGAGGACTATGCGTGGTACCTGGCTCAACAGCAGTAACTGGGAGAGGGACCTTGGAGTCTTAGCGGACAATCATTTAAATCGGAGCCAGCCGTGTGGCTGAAGCTGCCAAAAAAAAGCCCACACGGTTCTAGGCTGCATCAACAAAAGGATAGACTCACGGGAAGTGTTAATACCACTTTATAAGGCCTTGGTGTAAGGCCACACTTGGGATACTGCGTCCAGTTGTGGTGGCCAGGATGTAAAAAAAGGTTGTTGAGATTCTGGAAAGAGTGCAGAGAAGAGCCACAACATACAACGAACAGTTACAGGAATTGGGTAGGCCTAGTTTGATGACAAGAAGGACCGGGGTGATATCATAACAGTGTTCCAATATTTGAGGGGCTGCCCCAAAGAAGAGGCAGTCAAGCTATTCTCCAAAGCACCTGAAGGCAGGACAAGAAGCAACAGATGGAAACTCATCAAGGAGAAGAGCAACCTGGAACTAAGCAGACATTTCCTGACAGTGAGGACAATTGACCAATTCTTCCCTCCAGAAGTTGTGACTTCTTCAACGCTGGAAGTTTTTAAGAAGAGACTGGACAGCCGCTTGTCTGAAATGGTATAAGGTTTCCTGCCTAAGCAGGGGGTTGGACTAGAAGACCTCCAAGGTCCCTTCCAACTCTGTACTTCTATGATCTAAGGCCATGATGGCAAACCCACGGTTTGCAGAATCAGCCTCTTGCCCCCAACAATCTGGGTCCTCATTTTACCGACCATGGAAAGACGGAAGGCTGAGTCAACCTTGAGCCGGTCAGGATCGAACTGCCGAACTGCAAGCAGCTGGCAGGCGGCGGAATTCGCCTGCAATGCTTGCATTCTAACCCCTGCACCACCACAGCTCTGCACCCGATACGGGCAGTCCTCACTTTATGACCTGTCGTTTGAAATTAACACCCTATCTGAAAAAGGGGACTTACGATCCAGATCCATAGTTCCGGCAATCACACACACATCCACTTTGCAATCATATGATGCACCTCGTGGGCACTCATAAAACATTTCTATGGTCTTTTTAGAGTTGCCATCAGAAAGGGAGGGGGGAGCAATGCGGCCACTTGCAAACCGAAACCGCATTCCATAAATGTTTTCAAAGATAGTAACGAGGTGACTGAAGTTTCTGCCAACGCAAAATTCTAACTGGAGAGCATGATTGATGACTCTGGGCTATGGAGGTGTCCCATTGGAGAATATGAATTAGGATACACCCAGGGGGGTGGAGGGAAAACCAAGGTCAAGAGTGACAATGAATGACGTGTCTCAGAGTCGGCTACACCCAGGCAGTGCCGCCATGTTAACTCCCAATAAATCCTTTTGAAGTTTTTGGAAGTTTGGCTTGAGATTTGTGATTTAAATGGGGTAACTCCTGGAATCCTGACACCTCGAGTTATGACCATAACGGAGCCTGCCCCCAGAGGTGGTATTCAGCCAGTTCTGACCAGTTCTGGAGAACTGGTAGAGGAAATTTTGAGTAATTCGGAGAACCAGCCAATCCCACCTCGGACTGGCCCCGCCAATCCGCTCTATTCTCCGCCTCCCATTGAGTCCCAGCTGATCGGCTGAGTCTCCTTGGGTTGCCCTGCTCAGGAGAATGGAGCTGGAAAGCAGGTTAGTGGGGTGGGCGGGGAAGGGGGATTTTGCAGTATCCTTTTCCCTGTCATGCCCACCAAGCCACACCCACCAAGCCATGCCCACAGAACTGGATTCACTTAACAACCACGTTACTAACTGAACAACTGCAGTGATTCACTTAGCAACGGTGGCAAGAAAGGTCGTAAAATAGGGCAAAACTCAGCTAACAACTGTCTCCCTCAGCAATGGAAAGTTTTGGCTCAGTTATGGACTACCTGTAAAATGCACTTCAGATAATCTTGAACGATCCCTAATCATTAACAACTTGGCTCCTTCTTGGAGGAGGACGAATTGCTGTTATAAGCTCTTTGTTTGAAGGATTAAAAAAAGGGGAACGGAAATGAATTAAAATATATAGATAAACTTTGGCAAAGCGGAAAGGAAGAAAAAATATGATTATTAATTATTATAAGTGAAGATAAAATGAGACATATTAAGAAGTTATTTTAGCGATTTACCGGGGGGGGGATACTTTAAAATATATACATTTTAAAATATACAGTTGATTATTTAATAGATATTAAAAGTGTACAATGAGAGTATTTTATTATGATTAAAGTAGGGGAATGAAAAATACCACGTGGATCCTAAATATATAGCCTTTATTTTACCTTTACTCTTTTTAGATTATTATATATCGGCTTAGAGAAAATTAAGGATAATAATGATGTGTCATGTAAAATAAATAGGTGGTAAGCTGAATATGGAAATAATAGGGGATAAAGAATTGAAAACCTATGTGTGGATGAAATGATATTGACGTTGAATTAATGAATTGAAATAGGAAATGCAATTTTATTTAAAGAAGAGTGAAATGGATAATGAGATGAGATGATATTATACTGTATAAGATTAATGGAAATGAAAGTATGACTATGTACAAGTGCTATAATCCAGAATCATGTTGCTCACGTGAAGAGATGTGTAAAATAAAATAAAAAATACAACTTTCATTAAAAAACAACAACTTGACTCCTTCTTAACTCCCTCCCTTAATGGATCTTTTAGATAAAGATCCCTGGGTTTTTTGGCCATCTTGCAACTAAGAGGATTAAAACCCGGAGACTAAAACGTACGAAGAATGGTTGCAGGATTTGGCTATGGACAGTCTAGAGAAAAGAAGAACTAGCGGGGGATATAATAGCAGTCTTCCAATATTTTTTCTAAAATACTTTTTATTAAAGTTTTACAATTAAAAAAACACAAATCATGTTTACATTATTTTGCAATACATTGGGGCATCGGTTTTTTTCCATCTTCCGTTATTCAAATCTATCTACATAAATACATTACTCATATTTACATTATATATTAACTGTTATTCTTGTTATCTAACCAAGTATATAAATTTCCCCAGACTGTATAGAATTCTCTTTTTTCCTTTTCCTGCAACTCCATATTAAGCTTATTCATTTCTGCACAATCCATAATTTTTTTAATTAACATATTAATTAAGCAGTTTTCCAATATTTGAGGGGCTGCCCCTAAGAAGAGGAAGGGGTCAACTTATTCCCCAAAGCATCAAAAGTCAGGAGAAGAAGCAATGGATGGAACCACCGGCCTCCAGGAGTTGTGAATGCTCCAACACTGGAAGTTTTTTTAGAAGAGATTGGATAGCCATTTGTCTGAAGTGGTGCAGGGTTTCCTGCCTTAAGCAGGGGGTTGGACTAGAAGACCTCCAAGGTCCCTTCCCACTCTGCTATTCTATTCTATTCTATTCTAAGAGGCAGGACAGCCATTTGTCTTGGGCAGAGGGCTGGACTAGAGGACCAGCAATACCCTTTGCAGACCCATGAATCAGGAAGGAAGGAAGGAAGGAAGGAAGGAAGGAAGGAAGGAAGGAAGGAAGGAAGGGAGGGGGGAAGGAAAGAAGGAAGGATGGAAGGAAAGAAGGAAGGAAGGGTGGAAGGAAGAATGGAAGGAAAGAAGGAAGGAAGGAAAGAAGGAAGGAAAGAAGGAAGGGAGGAAGGGAGGAAGGGAGGGTGGAAGGAAAGAAGGAAGGATGGAAGGAAAGAAGGAAGGAAGGAAGGAAGGAAGGAAGGAAGGAAAGGGAAGGATGAAAGAAGGATGCATGAATGGAAGGAGGAAGGGAGATGGAAATGAGAAGAAGACAGAAGGGGAAGGAAGGAAGGAAGGAAGGAAGGAAGGAAGGAAGGAAGGAAGGAAGGAAGGAAGGAGATGGAAACTCATCCAGGAGAGAAGCAACCTGGAATTAAGGAGAAACTTCATAACTGTGAGGACAATTAACCAGTGGAACAACTTGCCACCAGAAGTTGTGGCTGCTCCCATCCCTGGAGGTTTTTTAAGAAGAGACTGGACAGCCCCCTGTCTGGAAATGGTCTAGGGTCTCCTGCTGGAGCATGGGGCTGGACTAGAAGACCTCCAAAGTCCCTCCCCAGCTCTATTCTAATTTGATTGCTCAGGTGCTCTTTTCCTATCTAGGTATGGCAGGTTGAGCTTTGCCCCCCACAGACAGGCTGGGTTATGCTAGGTACACAAACTCCTTCATGCATGTCCCATCAATAAATCTCCTTTTGAGATAAAAACCCCCTTTTGCTAATCATTGCTCAGGTCCGATTCCTGCTCCAAAAAAAAGCACACACACACACACACACACACACACACACACACACACACACACATACCTGCCACTCCAGTTTTACCCTGAGGAGGAAATGCTGGAGTGGAGGGTGGATTCAAGCCAAGAAAAGCTTTGAAAAAATTGATTTTTTCTTCAGTCGTTCCCAGAAACCTAGCAGATGCCAAAGCAGAATCCGTAAAAGGAAATATTTTATTTTATTGTAGTTTAGTTTAGTTTAGTTTAGTTTAGTTTAGTTTAGATAGATAGATAGATAGATAGATAGATAGATAGATAGATAGATAGATAGATAGACAGACACAGATAGATATAGAGATTAGATAGATAGATAGATAGATAGATAGATAGATAGATAGATAGATAG